GTTCCTCTAGTTCCTTACGCGTGTTAGTTTTCCTGTTTTCCCGCGGACTCGTCTGGGGAACCGGTCTATTACGACGGGACGTGATACCACTTTTTTTCACCCGGTCAGAATAGCTGTCCGTTGTGCCGATGTCTGATTTTGAGGGTGTACTGTTATTAATAACATCAGAGGAACTGTCTGTGATTAAAGTGTTAATGTTCTCTGTTGTTATACCATCATGTTCTATGTTGTTTACCTTTATTTTATCATTCGATTGTTTTTTCTCAATCTCATAGTTCTCTGCTACCTTTACATTTAGTTGTTGAGTAATTGAGTCATTGTTGTCAGTTACATTTCGCTTTTTCTGTGTCGTAGTGGTGTCCGTTATGTCCGATTTCAACATACTAGTTTCTTTCCTCAGCTTTCTCGTTTCATGTTTTTTACCATTCCATTTTGTTGCCTTATAAAGATGTCATTCCTGTTCGTTACTTCTGTTCTAAGGGTGCTAATTTCCTTGTTTTACTCTTTTAACTCTTCCTTGTGTTTGTATGTCATGTAATCTAACCTGTCCATCATATCGTGCCGGAGACCGACGACCAGACGAAACAAATCTTCGATAGTGTCTCTGTCTATTGACGCGTGACCTGTACGGGTACTATACATATTGTGTACACTCTCGGTGGAATGTACCGGGTGGCTGTCCACTCTGTAATTCATCTATGTAAGGGGTACCTGAAGGAGTCAAATTCTCACACGAAGACTTTATACGGTCTTTATATCTTAACACATTGTTGAGATCAGAAACGTTCATTGAGTCATCGACATAGAGAAATAAGATGTACACGTCATCCAATAGTTTGTCACTGGCTTATTCCACCATTTGTTCTTCTTATCAACTGACCAGTTGGAGTCTCGCTACGTCTTCCTTTGGCCAGTTACGAATCGCATTAATTTCATTAAGGTCATCTTTATATATATCGGCAAGTACTCATTTAAATTTGAGTTGGTCACAACTACCGACGATATCACACAAATGACCAAATATTTCAGTATTACTTTGTGATAACACATCGCTGGTGTCAGTCCTGCCGATGCCCCCACCAGGTGAGTTATTATCCATTTCAAGTTCTTGTAATACACTTTTCCAAGAAGTAAAACCACTTCATACTTTTGAATAGTAGCGGGGATGTCAATATGTAATACACATTCAACAATTGTTCATATTACTTGCCTAATATTTCTGTTTTCTTCGAATTTTTCAGAGCGACTTGTAAACACTTGGTAATAATTATTGTTGTACAGAACAAAATGTACAAGTATTAATATTGCTTTTGCTCATATAAACTAGCTAATCATTAATTAAGGCGAGGGTTCTGACAATGTTTGTTCACAAAACGGAATACATCCGTCTCCAAGTCTCAAACACTTAATTAATACAATAGCTTTAACAATGAAATCAACATACCAGAAAATATCTGTAACGCGTATAATTTGCATTTAAATAATAACTGAAACGAACAGGTTCCCTGTACATACGGATGTATTTGATTACATACACAGAAGTTCGTGCACAAAAGAATTTTGCCTATTCGTTCAATAATCAGTTGAGCTACGCTTTACCTCCATTAGCACATTTATTTCTGTAGAGTAATCATACTAACGTAGACAATCTTGTTTAAGACATTCAGCTAATGAGACAGTCAGGGAAATTCTCTTTCAATGAACACTGCCATAATTCGGACCTACTCCACCCAGAAAGGAGGAAATGAGCCAACCAGTTCCGAGAAAAGAGCCTAACAAAGGACAAGTTGGTAGTGATGTCATTTTGGTTTAACCAGAAGGTTCGGGCGCCAGTATATTCATCAAAAAGGTCATAGTTACGTCAGTTGGTAGCTGTCGGTGATCGACATATTCGAATGTACACGAACAAATAGTGTTTTACAGAAATATTGTGACGGCAACACCGTCAGGATTACTGTCATAAAACGTACACGTCAACAGATCTACTATTCCTCAACGAGAAGTCAGACTATTTTCAGATTTACAAGGTATATATACCCGACATTATTGCATGATTATCGCCTGTGTGTATTGTATGTTTGTATTATTTCCGTCGCTGTAGTGCTGTCCTGAGACTATACGAATACACGTTACAAGGAACTAACTATATAATTGTGTTTGTGTTTGTTGTACTACTGCGCGTTTGTATGCAAACTTATAGCTCCGCAAGGCAAACTATCTTGGTGTTTTTCAAGTAATATATTTTGAATGATTAGTTCAGCTTTGCTCAGGTTCGAGGAAAGAACAGTCCTATATGTTAATGTAATAGGCGACTAATATGTATGAGGTCCGCTAAAGTCAGGTTTTTCCTCTTTGGTTGTCGCCCTGGAAAACCGTCCTCATATGGCCTCAGATGTACAAGGACGTGGGAGGGGACACTTGCCCGATTCATCCAATCGTATAACTTTATATATATATTTCCACTTCATATCGCATGAGACGACTTATATTGGACTTTTGCGGAATCAGGGGTCTTCGGTGCTTCGAAAACACTGAAGAGACCAAAATTGACCTGCTGCACCAAAAGCAGAAGTTTGGACGCTTCCTCACATTTTATTTTCTCCCTAGGTACCCGTCTTAATATGACCTTTGCTGTTTCAAGGACGTTGACACCCAATACAACATTATACAATGTTACCAGTGACTGACCACAGCGTCATTAGTCCCTATGTGGTGACAAAAAATTGAAAACGCATGGCAACACTTATTTATGGAACTATGAAACTGGTTCATTATTTATATTTTAATAACGAACACGCTTCACAAATATGTAAAATGCCATGCGAATAGATTGTTTTGTACGAACTGACAACTCCCTTTAACTTCAGCCATAATGACTAATTATCATAATGACCGCGTATATATCCTGACATGGAGACATAATGTCACGGTTCCTTGACCGACATAATCGTAGCACGTCACAATGCACAACTGGCTCTATCTGATTACATTCACGGAAGTTTGTTACAAAAGATACACAACTTATTCAGCAGGCTTGAAAGAAATCGCTGGGTCTGTCTACAAATCACTTGAAATATAGGCCATAACATCGACGCTACCATAATGATATTGTTAATATGATATATACCAGGAATTGTTGCTTTTGCAAACTTGTGTTTCTTGTTACAAATGATTTCTTTAGCTATGTGAAACCCGCCTGTCAAACGTTTTGTGTTGCCGTTACATATTGACGGAGACTTAAAAATGTATAATAAATAATATAGAAATGTATCTGCAGTGTACAATATAGTATCCTCATGGTGCACTGTAAATGCAGAGAGTGAGTTGTCCTATAGCAACTGAGAAAAGGCCATACTTGCATAACTCACGCCAATATTCTACCCAATGAAGATCAGCCTCATTGACATGCACCCGTTATACTTTAAAAATGCTGAACGTTCTCCCAGATAAGGAAGGCGTTTGGTTCTGTCCGCAGTCCCAGACAACCTTAGTCGTCCATAACAAGAGGCCCAACGGGCCTTAACGCTCACATGAATTACATCGATTTAGAGTCAGTAACTAAAAATGTTTTTGAGAAGCAATAAAAACAGTCCTACAACTGAAAGGCCAGTGTGGCTATGTTGGATGTTTGGATCATATTTTGAAAGTAGCTAAAAAACTGCTTTTCTAAATTCCAAAGTAACAGATACTTGTTTATAAAATGTACAACACAAAGGTTTCTTTGTGTTCGTTAAACCCATTGCTTTCCTCACCTTGGCGAACGTTCAATATAAAAGCCAAAAGTGAGGTAAAGCCAAGCACGGGGCTATGTTTGGTTTGGTTTGCCTGGCTTGGCCACACCTCACTTTTGGCTTAAACGGTGAACTTTCGCGCAGGTGAGGAAGGCAATGGGTTCTGTTGCCAGGCAGGGACATACAGAAGTCCTTAAACATGGTAGTTGTTATTCCCCGCTTAACGTTCAGCATTATGGGTAATGGCAACAACTGGTTCACACGATTTAAGTATAATGTGACCGGGTGGAATGTTGTGCTGGGTGCCTTCCGCATGGTATTTTACTGAGATAGCACTATAAAGTCGGCATCGGAACCGCACTATCCCAATGAGGCAATTACACCAATATATCCTGTCTTCGTCCCACATACACGAATGTACACTTACACAACATACATGAAGGCACGTGCTTAAATGACCTAAGCTGTTAATAGGACGTTTTTACAAAATAAAACCAAACCGAACCCGACCTGCAGGGGTGAGGATGGTTTGATTTGGTTTTATTTTATTTAACGTCCTGTCTATCATAGATTCTGTCCCCAGCACTACAAAGTATGCATCATATCCGCACTATCACAAAGAGGCAACTACAACAACATACCCTGCCTCCGGCACACATTCACACATGAATAATTACATTACACAGAAAAAGGCACGTCCTTAAATGACCTTAGCTGTTAAAGGACCGTAGACAAAATAAAACCAAAACTTTGTTAATCGCCATCGTTTTTATACTTAAATATCCACAATACTCGTATTTATAAGGACGTTGTGTCCGGCAAGGCCAGTGTAGCAATGATCATGCCCATTCAAGATAGCGGATACAACAGAACTATTTTATTCATAAATATACGCATGTTAATCATAATATTAGAAAAAAGGATACAGAATACGGATAGGTGAATTCCGGATTGAAGATGACTCGCTATTATCAGTAAAGGGAGATTCACAAAAATTGCTACATATTTATTTAAATTCAATTGATATTTACGATCAGATATGACTTATTTTACAACTGATACGTTTGTATTATTTTTTGTTTAAAACATTTTAACCTTTTGTTCAAGTTTGAAGAATGGCGTTCACAAAAAGGGCTACATCAAACTTAACAGTAAAAGAATAGAACATACAGATGTATATTTTTGATGTAAATAATTATTTGTGCATTTTTATTTATTCTAGGTACAATACATATCAATATGCCAGAAGACAGTGTCTCCTTGCGGTGTTGGACAATTAACTTGAATAACAGGACCCAAGACATCGGTTATACACTATGTATTTATGCTGCGTTCATTACTTTAGTAAGTACATTATGTTTCACCGAAACGGCAACAACTCGTTCACCCGTTGTCAGTATAATGTGACAGCGCGGATTGCTGATTTTGGGTGCCTTCGGTATGGTAATTCAGTAAGATAGCACTATAAAGTCGGCATCATATCCGTGCTATCACAAGGAGGCAAGTACACCAACATACCCTGCCTCTCGCACACACACGTAATTACGCATCCACAACACAAATGGAGACACGTCCTTAAAGACTTCGGCTATTGATAGGTCGTTAATGATAAAAACTGTCGAGGGGTCGTTAAAAGAACAAACAATCAGCACTAAGACACAGCTAAGTCATTATTTATGAAAATATTTGACAACATTCTTATTTTTGTGTGAAACTTTAATGTCATAGATGTGTAACATATCTCTTGAAGTCATTATACCTGATTTTTTTTGTTGGGGATCCTGATACCGGCAATACAGTCAAAACAAATATAATGGGAGGCTACGCAATGAACGAAAAATTACACTGGAACTGAATGCGAACGAATGTTAGTATGTTAGCATGTTAGTACATGTATGTGTGAATATTTTTTGCAGGGTTGGGTGCAAATACTTAGTGGTAGTGGAATCACCTTACGGGACTTCATGGTAATAAGCAGCAGCGAAAATTCGGAAGATGGACAGTGGTTTTTATGGTCGTTTGTAATTGGCTGTGGTCTAGGAGCATTGACTGGTGGCATTTTCTACGAAAAAGTCAACCGGGATCTTGTTTTTGGCCCATGCCTACTTGTACTAGCTTGTACAATGGCTGTCGCGCCATGGTGCTCCTTGTACTGGGCGGCGATTTCCGTACACGTTATTCAGGGCATTGCAATGATGGTGGTTATCATAGGTAATTTAATTTTTCTATTTCTGACGGATGAATTAAGGCTTTAGGAAGCTAAAATCTTGTTACAGAGGAACGAAAATAATTGAAATGGGTGTTTTGGCTGCGAAATATTGCATTTTGGTCATTTTTATTTACCGCAGTAGCAGTCACAGATGCAAATCCCTAATTCTGTGAGGGGTTCCCTTATAGTTGACACTGACAAAATGCAGTAGAAAATGAAAGAATATTCTTTTTCAACCCCCGACCTGATTAATTCCAGGTATGTTATAAAAGCAGTACACAAACCTGCTCATTGCGCTAATGGCAACCAGTGCAGATTCGGGGTAAAGACTAGGCGTGCCGTATCCTGATATAGGGGCGTGCCGTGTCCTGATATGGGGGCGTGTCGTATCCTGATATGGGGGCGTGCCGTATCATGATATTGGGGCGTGCCGTATCCTGATATGGGGGCGTGCAGAAGCGAGGATGGTTTCTTCTTTGTCCTCTGATTAGGGGTTTAATGGGGGAAACCAAGAATAGAACTACTGTATGACTTCGTGTATCGTTAAGGGTGACTAATATGGGGCCCTCTACAGAATCGGATGTTTTCTTCAGTGTCTTAGGAGGACATGTAAGAAACCGAAATTGAACTGCTGTTCATATTGCAATACTTGAGATCTTTTTCGTTTCCTATGTCCTTTGTTTTCTATCTAATTGCTGTTTGAGGTGGTGTCTCCCCTACACCTGTACTCTCGAGACCTTCGAATGTGATAATGTTAAACACTCAACAAACAAAAGATCTAATGAATATATTTCACCCGATTATAAATAATAATAAATGAAACAAATAAAAAAAATGTTCAAGCCTAATGATTAGCACTTTGGGAAATGGCAACAACTGGTTCATCCAATGGGTGCATTTGTCGTGATATAAAACGCGGGTTCAGATCCGCGCTGTCGCAGGAGGGCTATTACTTAAACATACCCTACCTCCCACCCTGCAGGTTTGGGATCGAGAAAAAACCCCACCACATGTATCGTAAGAGACGACTGATGTGGTAACCCGCTGCAGAATTGGGGATCTGATATTGTGCCGTCTATAAATCTGCTTCATTTCATTTATTTAATTCAATATGTGATAAGAGTTTGTTGTGACATTTGATTTTATTAACTGATACTTTTGGATATACATGAAGATGTTGTGGTTCCTTCAAAATGCTTATATTATAAAATATGTAGTTTTACTGTAGTTTTCTCAAAAATGCAAAACATATTTTGAGTGAAATTGAAAGTGTTAATGTGCGAAAAAAAGTAAATGTTGTAGAGTGCTAAATGAATACTAGCGTAAATACTGTGGTACAGGGACTTGAAATACTGTTGGATAATAATCTTATTAAGGGAACAATTACTATAACCTTTAATTTGGCATAGCACTTTAAATGTTAACTATTTATGGTTGAGTGTTAAATAAACTCCAAAATTCGTGTCATTGATAAAAAGTCAAATTAATGTGATTACTTCCATAATAGTCGAAATTATTTTTATATTTTTATATTAACAACAGTTGTTATAATAATATTGACATTTCTACTCGATAGGTGGAAATGCAGAGATCCTGTCAATGTGGAGGGACAACCGGATCACCTTTTTAGTCCTGTACCTTCTACACAGACTCGGCCGTTTCACCTCTCTCCGGATTGTGAAGCCATATAGGATTCACCTCAAATATATATACTCGAATGGAAGTTTTAGTTTTACCCCTGATTATCGTGGTCTATCGTCTCGTCTATACATTCCATATTCAATAATGGCTTTGTGTATAGCTGTTATTGCTGTTGTTTTGTTTCTATTGAGTTGTGTATGTAAGAAATCCGTATTAGTTGGGAATGCAACAAACTACGCGAGATCACAAAACCAACCTAGAGAGTTACCAATGAAGGTTAAAGTTATAGCTGTTATCATCATGAGTGCCTGTTTGACATTATGCACAACAGGTACCGACAGATCTATGGATTTGCTAACCGAGTTAATAATTTATCCAGACTTTCTGAGTTATCATCTATATGTGTATATTGTTATAATAGAGTATGCTGTATACGGAATCGTTCTGACCTCTACAGTGGTGACAATGTTCCTTACATGTCATTACAATACGATGGTGATTGCTGGTATCCATTGTTTTCTTATCTTTCTGTCACTTTCAGCTTTCGTGATAAGCTTTTTGTTGAACAGTGTAGTAGGTAGATACACTTCGTTGGTGGTGATTGGATGTTTTCAAGTTGTATTGTTTTCTCTATTGCTTGTTTGGACAAATGAATACATCACCCCGGTAACAGGGAAAATTTCGTCTTTGATTGCTATGACTTCTTTGATTGGTTATGTCCTGAGCATTGTATTAATGTTTTACTTACTGAAAGTTGACAATATGTGGAATCTTTACTTGATTCTGATAGAGAGCTTTCTACTACTTTTACTATGTACAATTGCATTCATCATGACAAGACAAATTGTGAGAAGATACGGGAAAACCTATTCCAATACCATTCGTACATACGATGATGAGGTTGTTTCAGAGCAACTTGTCATGAGTGAACACTGAGTTGGTTTGGATTTATTTTATTAACACATGCACTCGGAATAAGATTCTTCAGTTTGGTATGACTGATAAAGACTAAGTTTGTTTTGAACACAAACAGGAATTGAAAACTTATTTTGCGAGCTTTCAAAAATGTTTGTTTCCTTTGTCAAGCAAATAGTGTAAATGACCGATGTCTCCACTCTTAACCACTGAGACATTTCGCCCAATAACACCTTACAGGATGTTAAAATGGGGTCATAAAATGGACTTAGCTGGTGGCGCCCTTCGTCTCTGTTCATAGAATCCCATTCTTCCCCAACCAAGATGAATTCTTTGATTTTCCTGACTTTCCAGTTGTCCTCCCTTTCAAGTACTGTCGAGTTGTTCCAGTCTATGATGTGGTGGTTTGGGTAAGCATGGTCTGTAATTGCTGACGTATTGTATTGTCTCTTGGATGTTTGCCTTTTATTTCTAGTGTAGAGATGCTGTTCCACGTCTTGCTAACATTTGTTATATTTGTTATTACTATTTTTAATATAACCTGTTGCAGACTGGACACTGAACTAAATAAATCCAAACCAACCCAATCTTTCTAAACTGTCCAATCAAAATAACTTTGTCCTTTTGGAAATACTCGCAAAGTGTTGTTTTTTTATTGTGAACAACGTGTTTTTGACAGTCCGCACACTTTACAGTCTTAAGCTTTATCGTAAATTATTTTACCGATTTCATGCTAGTCTACTCACGAGAGATGTTCATAAACACGGAATGGCGAAATGCCATAGCTTTGCGTTTTATTTATATCAAAGAATAAATAATTGACGAAATGAAGTTCGAACACTATTTCAGTAGACGATTTTTTGACGTTGGATTTACGCTATTGAAACCAATATCTTACTTCGAGGTATCCGAGTGTTTTGAGTTTTCAGGGTTCGAATTATCAGAGTTTTATTTACTAAGATAAAGAAGAGATTTGGCCGGGACTGGAGAGATACTTCGAGATAAACGGACACATCGAGTAATAAGAGTTCGAGATAACGAAGTTCGAGTGTATGTATTTTTTTTATTTTCTTTTCATTTTGATTATCTTTTAGAAGTTCTTACTTGAAAATACAGCAAGATTTATGAACAAAATGCAAATATCGAAACAATAAATACCATATATTGAAAATAATCAATTGAAGTTTGCAAAGTATAAAAATAAAATACCATCAAGGAATTAAAAATAAAAGAGAAGATATACAATTGTGAAAATAAAATTGAATATAATATTGGAGATTTACCTCCATTTACTTACCTCAGCTGTTAATAGGACGTCAAACCCTATACAATCAAACTATTTACCGCTTGAAATTAGACTTTTATCATTCCAATATATTTTTAATATCTTCATTACTGGGGATTTCCCAAGGTACCGGTCTTGGTATGCGCTCAGCTATTGGATATTAAATCCCAAACAAAGTATGATTCAACTTTTTAATTATAAATTTTCAAGTTATTCAGAACGCCTTTTGAACTATTAAAATTTTTGAACATAAGAAGTGCAAAAACCTGTGTATGTACTACGTTAATCGTTAATTTCCTTTTCTAACAGTAGTAAGATGAAAATGATAACCTTAAGTATTTGTTTTGTTCCACATAGCATTTAGTTCCCGAAAAATATCTCAAATGTAACATCGTAAAACCCTGGCTTGATGCTCGTATATTTCACTCTTGGTATCGGAGCAATATATTTTTGGACTTCTAAAATGGCTAAACATAAGTTTGTACATTTCAGGGCCGGCTTTAGTCAAAGTATAATTATTTGTTTGCTTGGGGTTTAACGTCCTCGCAACAGCCAGGGTCGTCTGAGGACAGATGTCTAGAGAGACACCACATGAAACAGAAAGTAGATAGAAAAGTAACAAAATAGGAAACGAAAAATATCCCAAGTGTTAAAATGGGGATAGCAGCTCATTTTTCGTCACTGTCATGCTTCAAATATCTCCTTACTTCAGATTTTGCCCTAGTTTTATGGATTTCGAGTTCGAATTTTGGTTTTGATGACACTTTGTTATTCTTTTTATTTTATTTTAATCAGTAAATTTAAGACAACGAAAAAGAGAAGAATGTAAAAATCATCTCGGTACTTAATGTCTGACAAAGAGGAAGCACCGATAAACTGTAACAGCTTACGTCAGAGTAACATCATGTATTGTTTTATGTTAAATTTGTTACAATTTATTTTCAGTCCACATTTATGATTTCTTTACCTCTCGTAAAAGTATATTGGGATATCGAATGAATATACTAAATGTAAAATGTCTAAATAATGTAAATAGTGTAAGGAACATGTATATATATATATATTATGGGCCAAAGAAGTAATATTAACGGTAGCTTCCCAAATAACACTGGATCTTTGCAAATCGTTGAAAATGTTTGTAGGATACGAATTACTTTTGTCTGGGAATAGTTTGAGAAACAAAATCGGCCTGTTATCCAGTGAATTCGCTAGTGTTTTATTTTTACATATGTCACTAGTGTATTATACCCTGGAGCGTTTTTCATTGGCTATGCCAGTCAGACGTCATAATATGGACAATGACGTGACGTCATAAATTGTGATTGGCGCAACAAAATGGCTGTCGTTTGATTAAGGCCCCTACATTTTGGCTTTAAAACCTGTCAAAATGTAAGTTTTCCAAGTTATGTGATAAAAAGTTACTTAAATTTGTTTTCGTTTTATATGAGCTTTTATGAAACTTCGAAGTTTTAATTTTTGTTCGCCATGGCTCCCAAAACTAAAATCTCCTAAGACTCGTTTCATAAAATCTAACATGAAATGAAAACTCATTTAAGATCCTATATGTCTGGAAATAGTATAAGAAACATGTATATATATCATTGTCTGGGAATAGTATGAGAAACATGTATATATATATTATTGTCTAGAAATAGTATAAGATACATGTATATATATCATTGTCTGGAAATAGTATAACAAACATATATATATATCTTTGTCTGGAAATAGTATGAGAAACATGTATATATATCATTGTCTGGAAATATTATGAGAAACATGTGTATATATCATTGTCTTGAAATAGTATAAGAAACATATATATATATATATCATTCTCTGGAAATAGTATCAGAAACATATATATATATATATATATATGTTATTGTCTTGAAATAGTATGAGATACATGTATATATATCATTGTATGGAAATAGTACAAGAAACACATATATATATATCATGGTCTAGATTTTGATTATATAACGTCATGAATCCTTAATGTCGCAATGCGTTCGGGGACATTATATATACTATTTTATTTTTGCATTAATAAATGTTACAATTTTGCATTGCTAGTGGTAATTATTAGACAAATTGCACGTAGGGTATCAAAACAAATATTACATTGCTTAAAACAATGCTAAGTACGGATACCGCCGCGGAGTATGTATTTAGGGGAGTGTTCCATGCTCAAAATCTTGTAGATGAAAAACAGCTTGAATATTTCCTGGAATTGCATGTTTGTTTCTGAATAGCTCCGTATTGCCAAAACAGTTGGTATCAAGCGCTAATTTCTGAAGGAATAGGTAAGGCCCTTTATGTTAATCACAGAACAGCAGTATATGGAGCTGCTGCACCCGTAGAATCGACCTTTCAAAGGGTACTCGGAGTTGATCTTTTGCGAGTTTGATTTGATTTTGTTTAACGTCCTATTACCAGCTAAGGTCGTTTAAGGACGTGCCTTCATGCGTGTAGTGTATGCGTGATTGCGTGTGTGTATGCAGGAGACCGGGTATGCTGGTGTGCTTGCGTACTTGTGATAGAGCGGATCAGATGCCGACTTCATATTCATAGTGCTATCTTACTGAAATGCCATGCCGAAGGCAACCAGCACAGCCTTCCGCCCGGTCACATTAAACAGGGAATAAAAAATACCATTTTTAAGGTTTTTAGTATGTCCTGGCCTGGGAACAGAACCAATTGCCTTCCTCATTTGGGCGAACGCTCAACATTCAAGCCTAAAGTGAGTTATTGAGAAGCAAGGCGCTAGGAAATAAAAGGTAGTTGGAAGTAGATAAAGATAAAGATCCCAAATATTG